AATTACTAGACGAATTCAAATGAAATCCAGATTTAATCTGTATATCTTTACGATGTCTGAACTTTTGCCTGTTTTAAGTGGAAAAATAGCCGTTTTAGTAATTGGAATGTTGTTAAAAAATGATAAAAATAATGACTTTTTAAAAAAGTTGTATATTCTTGGTTAACACAGTGTGGTACCTATTTTTATTTAGACTATTTTTTAAAATAATCAAAATAGTTTTCTCGAAAATGTTGTGCGCCCTAAACGAAACGGAATTTTAAAAATCATCAAGAAGCAAAATATTCTTAGATTAGTCCAAGGAACAACCCCTTGCCGCATGTTTAAAAAACACCCTGTACATATATACAAAACAAACTAATTAGTCATGGTACTTAAGAAAAATATAACAATAAAATTTCAGTAAGGTACTATCATTATCGGGATTATATCACAGAAAATATCAGGTAAAGATATTAAGAGTTATTAATATCCAATCATTTAAGCGGTTATTGAAGTATTTCTAAATGGTTTAATTTAATGCCTTTATTCTTCAATATGTAAAATCTCAAAATGATCTATAAATAAATATATTTTTGCCAAAATATGATTTGAAAAATTAGAATTATAATTTATAAGAAGGTCATTGGCCTATTTTAAATCGCTGGGTCTACAATGATAACTAGATAAATTATTCTTACAAGGCACGTTTTATAATTCTAGGGTAAAGGAAGGTAAAGATTACAGTGAAACTTTTGTAGTACGTTTCGATACTATCCAAACCATTTTAAGCATAGCATCCTACAAATATCTAGAGCTAGCACCATTCGATGTTAAAACGCCATTTAAGTGGGCCTTTATCGATTAATAAATATTTATGAACCAACCCGAATACTTTGAAGATAACAATAATGTTAAAGCTCAATAGAAGTCTTTACGGTCTGAAGCAGTCTCCGAGATGCTGGAACAAGAGATTCAAAAATATCTTATTGCAGTTTGGACTTTTGGAAAGTTCTGCGGATCCCTATATATTTTATTGGATTAATAACGGTCATAAGCTATTAGTTACCTTATAAATCGACGACAGGGTAGAGGAAGCTACACAATGAATGTCTTTGGTCGATAAATTGATCCATAAATTAAAAGAGACATTCAAAATAAATATTGAACAATCCTAGTTTTCATAAATTATGGTCTGAATATATTGATGTTAAATTTCACTTTTTACGAAACAAGTTCAACGAGGAATGTTACTGATTAAATATATTTCTATTTCTGTTAACCGGCAAGTAGCTGAAATTTTAACACTCCTAAAACTCAGTCTGAAAGACTGCGTTTAATATTAGGAGTGATAAGAACATAAATAATGAAATTTGGATTTTTAGGGGGAGTATTGAGATAAAACGTTAATTTGCTGTCTAAAACTTTCACTACATACTTGTTGTTAGTTGTTTTTATGGAGCTAGAAGGTAGAGAGACATTATAAGCATCTTTTTCAAACATTCAAAACGGTATAGGGGGGGGGGGGCGGAGGGGCAACTTAATACACTTTTTAATTTTCAGAATTCAATATCCCATAAACTGTGTGAATTTTATTACATTCAAAAATATCAAGTTTACTCTTGGAGGATTTTTAAAAAAGGGGGGATGTAGCGAAGCCCCTCAACACTCTTAGATTTTGGTCCCAAACACTCTACCAATAGGAATTTATCTAAAATTAATTTTTAGGTTACTCATGTTTTCAAAAAAAGTGGAGGGGGGAAGAAAATTTTGGCACCAAAACGTTTGACTTTTGGTCCCATATAATACCCATACAATATTATTTCTTCAACTTTATTCCTAAGTCACTCTTAAAGACTTGTACGGGGGGGGGGATGTAATAAAGCTAAAAACCTTCCCTTATGGTTCCGTTAACCATTCACATAATATTATCCCAAAAAAATCCACTCCTGACGATTTTTTGAAGGGTGGAGGGGGGGATGAGATGGGTCTCACTCAACTCAACCTTTGGTCCCATACGTCCTACGCGCAATATAAATGTAAAATTTTCAATTTGAGGTCACTCTTGAGGCTTCCAAAAAAGGAGGAGGGGGGAAGGTATTACCAAGCACTTTACTACATTTGACCTCTGCTGAGGACAATAATTGTGTATAATAATTTGTAAATAGAAGGTCGAGTGTTAAATGATCATTATTAATTCGAAAGCGTGTTGGTTCAAGAATCAGTTGAGATAGGTTGGAATTTTGAACAGAGCCTAATGGCTTCGTTTAAAAAGAGTGTCACTGGGTCGATAAATACCTGTCAGATGTATGGAGTTTAAATGTTCATTAATTTCTATACATATCACATCTACATTAGTGAGATTTTTATGTGTACAGGAGATACAGAGAAATTATTTACAATATTTTTTAATAGGTAAATGCAAAAACCTGCACCAATTCTCGGTCGCTGCGAAAGATTGTGGATTCGTCGATATCAACTAGTGAGTCGTGAGTTGAGGTATTTAACCAGGTTCAAATGTTTTTTTTAATGATAAATATACTACCAACAAAAAAATTATCAAAATAACTGTCAACAATTATTACCGAAAATGTTTTGGTATGGTAACAATACCATATATACCATATATATATATATATATATATATACCATATATATTAACAAAACATTTTATGTGAAAACTTAAGGTAACATTTGATAAGGCGAGACTTAATCAGATGACAGACAACAAGCAGCAAATACTACCGTGTTAAAAGTGTTGTCGCCTCTCTTGCATCCGTTGCGCTGTCCCAAATGTTTTATATATGTTCAGATGTATGAGACACATTTTGGTCTTTTTATGCGGCCGTTTGTCGTCTGTCACTTGCCTTGGTCTCGCGTTCCAAAATGGTACCTTTACTCTTTTCTTATATATTCTAGAGTAACCTCCCGGCTATCCTGCCTTGTAAATATTGCCACCTTAAAACTCAGTTATCATGACGCCCATGTGGTCCAAATCTTTTTACAATTCTGTATCTAGGGTTTCTGAGATCTACGGTTGTTTTTCACTGTTTTGTTAGTTGTAGTAGTACTTTTGGATATTTATCATATTTTTTATACGAATTCCTAAATAGTTTCATATATATCTGCATTCATTAATAGTACCTACCTATGATATTCTAATTATTATTTATTTGGCATAACTAACTAACTAACTGACGTAAATATTTTTTTAGTTGTTTAATCGCAATTCGAATAAAATATTGGCGGTCATAGGTATATGTACCTACCTAAAAAACAAATTTCATAAAATAGCAAATATCATGTTAACTTAAAAGTAAAAATAAATGGGCGTTTTAAAGTTTTTTTTTATTGAATAACAGTCTTTATTAATAACATACCTACATATTTGCAATTACAACCATTTTCGATATTTTGGGTTCGTTAATATAAACAGACTCCTTTTTTTGTAGAAAATTTATAATTAATAAGTAGCTAGTTAACTTTTTAATCATTGACTAGATCATTGGTCTGCGTATTTTCTTAAAGAAAAAAAACAGTAAAATATTAAACTATCGGTCTGTAATATAGTACCCAAATTTTCTAATTTATAATGAGATTTAATATCAATTATCTCTTAAAATCTAGTTTTAAATTTTAATAAAAATAAAATGTATCAAACCTCAATAAATAAAAATATTGAATGATCCACATTTTTTTTTAACGTAAGCAATGAAAAAAGTCAAATACATCAGAGCGTACAATTCTTTTAAATAAAAGTTTGATTTTATATCAGAGGAGTTGGTGACTCGTGTCTTTGTCTTTGTCAGTCAAATTTAGAAACTATTTTGTGGATTACTTGTTATTATTTTTTATTGATGTAACTTTTCAAATTTATTTTAAACAAAATAAAGTAAATAGATATTTTAGGTAACGGATTTACATATTGGCTCGTGTTTTATGAATTAACTATGATGAAGGACTTAAAAAGTACAAATTGATTAAACTTTTTAAATCGAGCTTTAAACTATTTAAAATTATTTACAGCTATAACTATTATACATACTTTAACTTATTTGTATAAAATACTATGAATCTAAACTACAAATCACAATTATTAATAAATTATATGAATATCTTATCGTTACGGGATTTATGCAGATTTTCCAAATTGTTTTTATGTGACATATTATATATCAATTTTGTAAAAATATAATATGAATTACAAAAATCGTTTTTGAATCACCTTGGTTTGTTATTTAATATTTTAAAAGCTGACATTATTTTAGGCTATTAATAATTTGATCAGAATTCTTCATGTTTCATTATTTTGTTTTATAATTGCGTCATATAGGTACCAGTAAATGTCGTATTATGTGAATTTAAAACTGAAAATGTAATTAAATAAAACCATAAATTATTTCCATAAAAGTGCTATTCTTTTCTAAAAATAGCCTATATTGAAGATGTTTATCATCTTTCCTAATACTTTAATTGCCGTTTGGAGAATAATAAATAAATTCAAAAAGGAAAAACTTGTATTTCGTGCAAAACTTTTTTATTAATGCAAAGCGCTTTCGGCTTATTTGCCATCATCAGTGCTCATCTACAAAAATTGTGGATGTAAACTTACAATTTAAAAAGATTTAAAAAATTTATAAAATCTGAATTAGACTTTTAAGTCAAAAGTATATATACAATTGTTTGAACGAATTAAAAATTACAAGAAACAGACAAAGTGACAAAAAACCTGGTATTGGGAATAGTGAGTGTGGGATAAGCCCCTACAAATCAAATCTGATCTCCAAAAGCAAGTTAGCTTGTGTGGAATTAAGGAATCATGCCACCCTCACTATTCACAAAATTGAAAAAAGGTTAAATTAATTAAAATTTAAAGAAATTTACAATTATTTTTTAAATCTTTTTAAATTGTAAGTTTACATCCACAATTTTTGTAGATGAGCACTGATGATGGCAAATAAGCCGAAAGCGCTTTGCATTAATAAAAAAGTTTTGCACGAAATACAAGTTTTTCCTTTTTGAATCTAAACTACGTGCACACAGCTGTCAACCTTTTTTGGTTTTTTTAATAATAAATAATTTTTTTATATTTTATTCGTATACCGGGCGTTGCATTGTCGAGCGGGACTTTGAAAATCCCATGTAATTTTAAATGGGGTCAATTATTGGCTTCCCTAATTATTTTAGATAAAAATTCTATTTAGGTTTATTAAAGACTACCTTTTTGATTAGCCCGTTTACGAGTTATCGCCGATTTCTTTTTAAATATTTCTCCTTTTTTATGGCCCTTACTCATAAATAAACCTTAAATATTTTATCCATTATTGCCCGTTGAGAAAATGAAAGTTGGACCAATACATTCTAAAGAAACTCTAATTAAATTGCTGAAAGCACTGCAGAACTAGGAATTGCTGTCTGCCGAAGTAGAAATTGTTCTAGAAGATAATAGACCCTTTACTCACAGACCATACCGTATGTCAATTAGTGAATAACAAAAGGTAAAAACAATGATTGGTGAACTGCTGGAAAATGAAATAATACGCGAATACAACTCTCCCTATGCGTCACCGATATTACTTGTGAAGAAGAAGAATGGGGAAGATAGGTTGTGTATCGACTATAGGAAATTAAATTCTATGATCGCTAAGGATCGTTTCCCGTTACCACGCATAGATGACTAGCTGGACAGACTACAAGGAAGTATTTACTTCACAAGCTTACCATCAAATACAAGTTGCTGAGAAATCTAAACATTTCTCTCTCTCTATCTTTCTCTCTTCCTCCTTATTTACCCTCTGACAATTTTCAGAAGTGAGATTAGAATTTACGCGAAATTAATTTAAAATTTTTGAGTTTTGAATGGTCGAGGTGTACATAGTTGGGACTATTGAAACATTGTTAATGCCTGGTTGTCTCATTAATTAGGGGCTTTTACTAAAAACAAAAATGAGTAAAGGACAAAAGCGTAAGAAAACAAATGCACTTCAAATCGAGGCGTCACTTTGCTTGGTACGTAACGTAAGTCCTGGTGGTAGTAGTAGGGCCGATTCTTCCTCAAATAATGATTCGGTGGAGAGGTTGGCAGAAATCATGTCTAATTTGTTATAAAATAATAGTAGATCGCAAAATATGGGTACGGCTAAAGGGGAGGTATTATTAAATCTCACGCCACTGCACATCTTCATACAAGGAGAAACCAGTTCAGCTATTCACAGGCTAATGCAGGGACAAAACCCAATAAGCCAACTACATAGCGCCGACCACACAAGGCTATATCAGCAAGTAAAAAGGGATAATATTCTAGCTATGCCTACTGATAGAGCCATAACCACATACAAATTTGGAAGAAATTTTCAAATTCAATTACCAGCCCGAGAATCCTGGAAACAGGGACCTTCCGTACAGGCTAAACTCGTCTGGTACACAGACGGATCAAAAACCAAGGAAGGAGCCGGTGCTGGAATCTAAGGACACAGGTCAAAAAAAAGATTTCGTTGAGTTTAGGAAAATATATGCAACAGATTTTCAGGCTGCACTACTAGCCATATAATACTGTGCAAGATAAATATTAAATCACAAAGTATCAGGCAAAACTATTGCCATATACTCTGATAGCCAAGCAGCTCTAAAGGCACATATCTCACCAGAAATCAAATCACGACTGGTGAAAGACTGTCTAGAAAACCTGACAGAGCTAAGTAGTCAAAATAAGGTGACCCTAGCCTGGGTTTCAGGCCATGAGGGATATCAGGGCAACGAAAAGACCAACGAATTAGCCCTAAAAGGCTCAGATAAGGCCATGACAGGCCCCGAACCCTTCTGTGGAGTTGCTAAGGCATTGTGCAAGGCATCCATTAAACAATGGATGCAAAGAGAGTCTCAGGAATGGTGGAACAACTATCCAAGACTGAGACAGGCCAAACAGTTCATCAAGGAACCATCGGCCAAGTTCACGAAAGACCTACTGGATCAAAAGCGTCAAATCGTTAGGATAACACTTCCTGTGCCAATGTGAAGGCCTGGCTAGAATAAGATTTCTAACATTGGGCGAAGAAAAGCCAAATGTACGCAACTACATGCGGGAGCCACTGTCAAAGCTACTAAGTCTAATAAAAAAGAGCAGGTTAGACGACATACTCTAAAAGTCTAAAACAAACTGAGTCCCACAATAGATCAGAAAAGGTCGCTGTGGACAAGGACAAATAACGTCCAACTCCTAATCTCATGCTATTAATTTAGAATATTTTATGAATATACTTTTTATAGAAGACATTTTTCCCCTATTATATTATTTAGCTGAATTAAATAAAATGTTCTATATTGGAATGCCTTCTGTTTTAGTATAGAATTTATAGTTCAAACGGTACTACTGGTAAAATAAGCGCTATCGAATCGCCTGTCTGGTTGTGTGCCTGAAACATGGCCTTTATTCAGCACACAGTATTAATATGGCAATAGGTTAATTTTCCATCAATGGGCCGTTAATTACCAATATATTTATTTCTAGATATTAATCGAAAAATGGAGGCCTATTAAATGAATTTGATGGCTAAGTGACTTCGGCCCGACTGTCTGTCATAGTGACCTAGGTATATATGCCAACCTTTTACTTATAAAAGTTAAATGGTCATCATTTAAATTGGAGGGTAACAGCTATTGCGCCTTTAATTTTCATATACAAAATGTTTGTTGGGACCAATATATTCTGTGTTTTGTTTACTATGCATAATTCTATTTACTACTCCTGTAGGTCGCGTATTTTTGTCTGTTTTCCATAATAGTTGCAAGTAAAATATTTTTTTGTATCTGAGGTAATAACCTTAATGAGTAATTTATAATGTTTAACTCTGTAAATTGCTTAAATTAAATAATTAACTAAATAATAAATTGTATGGTTATTGTTGAGAAACCACTATAAGTTGTTTGACTTTTGCTTCAAAAAATTAGTTAAGATTCTAACAATTTTCTTTTTTTATTTAGACGATTAAAAAACTGCGAGACTCTATCAAGTCTTGCATCGTTGCCTCGGGTCTTTATTTCAGTCTTGGTGTTCTAATTTTGCAAGACCAAATTGAAGATTAATGTCATTCTATCACAAAGCTCATGATATTTTAAATCAGCATTTAACAAAAACCAACATAGCCTGTATTAAAAAAATGGTTTTCGTACGATCAGTAAAATATATGCGTCAAAAATTATTTTATTTTTTAAAAATTTTGTTCTTTTTTTATGTTACACCTATATAAGTAGACAAGTATATGCATAAAATAATCAAAAAACTAGGTTTTTAATAAATTACTATCGTTTTATCAAAGTCGCTTGTCGTCAATTCTAGTAAAATTTGTTTCCTTTCTATAGCTTTTATTTGGTACCATAAAATTTATTCATTTGAAGAATGCTGATTATAAAACAAAATAAACATTTATTAATATCAGGAAAACAGCTTAATCCATTGTGAAGTGATAGAGCCTTATAAGATGCTGTTTTTCTTTAAAGTTGTGTTACTTTTTTTTAATAATATTGTTAATATTTAAATGAGTAGACATAAATGTAAATACTGAATAACAAAACAATTGAATACATTCTTTTTTAAAAATAACAAAAAATATTACTACTTCAATTCAGGTATAATTTTCAAAATAACCTCAGAAAGAGGCGATACCATAAAATATGAAATATCTAAAGAAAAAACTAGCAAGAAGGCTTATTCACTTCACATTTCAAACATTATCACCATGCACGTTACACTGGGGCAATTATTATTCTACGCCTTAACACTTTATAACCTAACCTACGAAATCACAGTTTATATATTTACAAAATAATTTAAAATATCGCATTCCATAGTCAGCCTATGGATATAGGCGGTAAAAAAGGAATTTCCCAAAAATACTTTCGTTTTCAAATTCATTGCTGCCTTAACGATGTCGTTGTGGATATTGCTTTCGGTGCTTCTACTATAACTGCTGTTGGTGTTGAAGCTTCACCGTTTGTTTGTATGGCTGTTTTCATCACTTCATCGTATGAGGGTGGTGCTAAAAAATAAAAAATGTGGTTAAATTCAGCCACAAATATTATATTTAATAAATGGGAAACGCTTCAACTCAAAATAAATAAATGTACATAAATAACTGGACACATTTCAAGTTAATTTTTGGGAAAAACAACTTAGGTGAAGTAGAAAGTCGCTACAGGATGTTCCAAAAATTAAAACGTTTAGTAATGTCAAAAGATGGTGCCGTGAAGTGGGACTTAGTATAAACCCTACAAAAACAACACTAGTAGCGTTTTCAAGGAAAATATAACTTAATCTCAAAACCGTTAAATTAGACGGGATAGATATAGAATGGAAAAATGAAGTCAAATATCTAGGCCTAACCCAGGACAACAAACTTCTCTGGAACACACATGAGAAGGAAGTAGTAAATAAGGCCACAAAAGCCCTAATGGTATGCAGAACCATTGCGGGTAAACGATGGGGATGTAACCCAAATTTACTGCAATGGATGTATACTGCAATAGTGAGACCAATCATCACTTACGGGGCTATAGCCTAGAGTAACAGAACTAGTTTAGCTACTACGAGAGCTAATATCTCAAAAGTACAAAGACTAGCCTGTTTGCATCACCGGTGCAATGATAACCTGTCCTGCGGCCGCAATGGAGGTGATCTTAAACCCTCTACATTTGATGATAGAGAATGTGGCAAAAAGGAGACGATATATAATGATCAGGAACGGAGTAATCAGACGAAAGTCTACTTGTTCAGGACTAAAGATACCTGGGACATACCCCAGGATGAAATTCTAACAAAGTACAGTTTTGTGAAAAACTTTAGGCAAGAAAGAATGTAGCCAAGAATCCATCGTGCTTGCAACCGAAAGACATGCTATTCAGTGGTATACGGACGGTTCCAAAACCATAAAAGGAACTGGAATATGAGTGTATTGGCTGAGAACCAAGCACTCCGAAAGCTTGGGAAAATACCCAAGCATCTTCCAGGCGGAAATTCACGCCATCGAGAAGTGTATCCAGTTTAACATCAAGAGAAGCAGGCATCAAAGCGCTGAGCTCTTACGTAATCAGCTCAAAAATGGTCTGGAGATGCCTAGAACAATTGAATGAACTAGGCGAGAAAAATAGAGTTACTCTCATTTGGGTCCCGGAACAAGATAATTAAATTGCAGATAGTCTTCCAAGGAAAGAGGCTCAAACATCCTTTGTAGGACTTGAGCTGTTTTGCGGTATCAGCAGTAACATAATATTAGGAGAGATTAAAAAAGAATTGGGCAGTAGAAGAACCGATAATTAAAACAATCTCTTTGGGCTGAGGCAGGCTTAGATACTTCTGGGTGAATAAAACCAGAAAAAATCAGAAGCCTGCAAGAACAGGCTATGTATTGTAACAGAGATCCTTACCGGGCATTGACGACTAAAATGACACCTTAGTAAACTGAGAGTAGTAGAGGATAGCGAGTGCAGATTGTGTGCGGAAGGGGACGAAACCTCCATTTACATTCTAACTGAATGTGTAACACTCCAGAATCCAAGGGCACTGTACCTAGGAGGATATCAAATAGAAGAGGGCGATTTACCTAACTTGAAGCCACTCCAAATCCTACACTTCCTTGAGAAGATAGGATTGGAAGGATCGTTATTGGCATTGAGACATTTTCTTGGTGCATTAGCGATAGAAGGGGATATAATAGATCTTTTAGGTCGCAGTGTATTAATACCCCATTCCCAACATAACATAACATAATGTCAATGAGGTTTAAACACCTAGAACAACTGTCTTAAAAAAATAATCGATAGTTGGAACATGAAGAATGTGTATGTGACTCAGATTAATAAACTCCATAAGCCAGAGCAAAACGTTTTATAAAAAGCTATCTACTAGATTATTTATACGGCCAAGAGAACAGAACTTTTGCCAATGTAAAAGATATGGAAATTGCATTCAAAATTCAAATTGGTTTTCTTTCAACAATCAAAGACGAATGCTCAATTTTCTGCACTGAGCATTTCTTTGGAATTTAAAAGGTATTTTGCGGGTCGATTTTATTCAGAAACGTACAATTATTAAATTAAAATGGAAATTATTTCAAAATTAAGAAAAATAAAAATCAGTAGAATTACCACTTTATTAGAGACTTAAAGGGGCAACGTTTTCCTCTAACAAAAACTTAAAAAATTACTCTCACTGACTGCTAAAATACATGTTTTTCCAGAAGGTGCAAAATGTTTAAATAAATTTATATACGTAGTAAAATATTTCTTTCCTGGCTATATGTACATACATTACATAATTATTGTCCCTCATAATATTTATTATTTTATGAATTTATTACCTGTACTTAAATTTGAAACTAGTCATATCATAATAATAAATGAATATACGTTTCATTGGCTTTATAAAGTACATTTTACATTTGGAGAGTATTTTTCTGTTGTAAAATACCGCTTTTATTAAAAAAATGATGACAATCATGACAATCATGACAATTGGATTTCTCATATTTCTATAAATAATATAATTATTTATAGTAAGCACCTTTATCAGAGATGATAGGTATTGTTTTCAATCGAACATGAGATGATTTCAAGATGAGGCCTATTTTGAAAAAAATGTCAATGGATATATTTTTAGCTACATTGAACTGATTATTATTATGATAAATCTCAACGAAATTAATGATATTGATAAAAAAAAAGTTAAATTAAAATAGCTACTAACGGTAGGTAATCTTAAAAAGCAAACGCATTGGTAAAATGCTAGATTGTTAATAATCTTTTGTTAAAATCATAGGTATAACTTAATAATGGATAAAATACGGCATATTTATAGACAAATTAAGAGAAAGTCAGCAGGAGGTCAGTTTTAAAATAAATAATCACACACTTGAGATAATAATTAATGTTAACGCAAAAATTTAGTTGCAAAGATAAATCCCAATAATCTGTAAATATTTGTTCAATATATCTATAGACGTCATAAACAGGCAATGAAAAACAGAAGGATATAGAATACTGCATAGTTTCTAAAGTGTTGTAAGCATATTGGTTAATTTTTGGTGGATGAAATAAATTTAAAGAAACTATCTTGTCTAAGAAATTTTTAGGAAACCATAAATATCAGTACTTTGAAATAATAATTATTGTGATTATAAATACTTACCATCATTATACATTGATTTGTTCATTTGGTTCAAGATTGAAATGTGATCTATTGACAAATGTGCATCATGTGTGGGCCATTGATCTTGTACTCTACTGCTTATATTGTAAATATCTTCTTGTTGGTGAGCTGTAAAAAGAAAGAAAAATATTATAAACTACTTGCATAAAATAGTAAAACTAAAATAATATGAACAGTAATATCACTAATTCCAATACAAAGCAATCATGGTTATCGATAAAGTCAATGTTGTAAAGTCAAGATTTATGTGGATTACTGTACTCTTTTGACTCAAAATATAGCTAAATTAGGTATACAGTAGGTAACATAATATAATGTAAATTCAATCTGTAGTTAATCCATATATTATAGGCAGTAATGGAGTAATGATACAACTGAGCCAATGATATACAAACTGGGGAAATACATAGAACTTTGTATTCTGAGAACATATAGGTAATAGTTTTCTTTAAAAAAGTAAAAACAAATACTAATAATATCGTTATATGGTAAGAAAATGTCGATTTTAAAAATTAAATCAGCACATTTAAATAAAACTGTATACTAATACTACTCTTTAGGAATTCCATAGTTGATCATGGAACAACTGTCAAAATTATCAACTGAGTTTCAAAGATAAATTACGGTTTCTAACTCATTGATTGATTTTAAAAAGTGGACCTCTTTTACTCATTTCACTTCATGCTTAAATCATTATAACTTTGTGATGTAAAGTTAGTAAGGAAGCTGTGATTTCAACTCGCCAAACTTAGCTATGGTTATCGTGTTACAACCAATCTCGAAAATCTGCTAGAATAATCCATTAGGCTCTTATTTATTGTATTCAGGTTGTGTTTTATGTTAGGTAGACAGAGCTGTCACAGAGGCTGCCGCTTTAGAAAGAGCCAGACGCCTATTAAATTGTATGGGGATGGTTTGCGCGAGATTGTTTATCTAAGGTGGCAAGTACGCTTTTTATGGACACCGTGTACTTTCCTGTCAATTACCTTCAGCAACAATAATAATTGCAACCAGAAAAATACATTAAGCAGATAATAACTGGCATTAAGAATGAAAATAAATTTTTATAATGTAATTTGCAAAGCTTTTTTGCATTATTGAGGCTTATGTTAAGTCAATTTCAAATTATAACCATAAACAATAGCTGTAGCATACACTTTCATAATAATTTTGCTACAACATGAGTAACACCGTAAATGTTTGCAATTTGGTTAGTAGTTGTTTGTTTCGTTGGTTACTCCTAACAAAAATATAAATATTTTTGTACCCTGAAATAAAGTATCTTCTACACACATTGATGAATAGTATAATTTTAATATTTTGATCCTATTGAAGAAAATCTAATAAACAAATCAGTTAGCCTTGATTTACAGTTGACATAATTTACAGTACTGTCAAAAATAATTTTACAAAATTTATCAGAGAACAAGTAATATCCAAAATAGCATAAAAAATATCATTTGGTGAACAATGTGTTATTCATGTTTAAAATAAATATTTGATCTGATGATTAAACTTTGGAATGAAGGTGTTCGAGATTATAGAATTTTTAGGTATCTAATAGTGTTTATTCCATTAAACAATATTATTAAGGAATTAAAAAAAAACGCTATATATATATATATATTGAATTTACTCAATCAACAAAAGAAAAATTTTACACAGTGTCAGAAGTTCGGTCAGAAGCTAAATAAGCTTGTGTTTTAACTATTATAGCGCTTGCTTTTATTTAATGCAGCAAGCAGTATTTAAATACCCACTTTGCAAAGGATCAGGCAGTCGACTTATGAAAAATATTTCAGAGAGTTTACGTTATATTTAAAACTTCTAGGATTTATTTAGGATAACTTTGTGTTAGCTTTCATGAGGTACCATACTGTAAATTATTCAATAATTTTTGTTTCCACAATAAAGGCTAAGATTGATGTTTTGGTTTAATCATTTTTATACTGTTGAAATTTTCATAAAATTATTTCTTGATTGGATGAGCTCATGACTAATGTTTTTTTTTTTAATTTAATCGAATACGTCATCAGTCAAACAAAGGTGAACATTAACTAAATCAAAGAATAAAGGCATTTAAAAAAAACAGCGTACACCGTACACGTAAGAGAAGTAAAACTCCTTAAAAACTAGAGAATGAGAGAGATAACAAGTATGTGGGTTATAGACAGTCAGATAGTGACCGATTTAGGTGCCCAATTTTCGCATACAAGCCTCGAAGAGGGTTGAAAAGTACATCAATGTTGAGTAGAATAAAAAATTTACGAGTGGCTCTTGGGGATAACACATGGAAAATTCGATTTTCCTTTTCAGAAAAATTTTCCTACCCCAAAATGCACTTATACATTCGGGTCAGTCAAGAAAATATGTTTTTCGGACTAGTGACGACGTGCATTTTCATACATTCGATGGGCTTGTGTGGAAAAATCAGGCAAAATCTCGATTTTTTATGCCCTTATTTCAACCCTTGAGCCACTTGCAACATTAAAGCCTTTGGTTATCAGAAACCTAGTTCTATTAATTAATCATATTTTTCATTATATGATGAATGCGTGGAAAAATGGGCAACAAATAACCTTTTGTTTTTGTTAGGAAAAATAATATTTTCCATGTGTTATCCCCAGCAGCCACTCGTAAATTTTCTTTCATTCTACTTAAAATCGATGTACTTTTTAACCCTCTACGTGGCTTGTATGCGAAAATGGGGCACCGAAACCTGTCACTATCTGACGGACTATTAGAGAGAATAATTGATGAGACATTATAAACTCCACTCTACTCCATTATGCTCTACTATACTCCACCTTATTCTACTTCACTCCACTCCACCTGGTTTTATAACTCATATCTCAAAAGCTGATAATAGTAAATTCATATAACTAATACACTTTATTAGCATACTCAAAATAAAGTAAGTGTAAAAGAATTACGCAATTTAACAGTAAAAATTTTTAAATACAGGGTGAGACATGAAAACACAACTTTTTTTATTTTTCTCTTTAAATATCTTTTGAATCATACTATACATGGTTTATAAATTATACATATTTTAAAATGGTTTGATGTCTATTATTAAAACACGATATTAAATATGTAATATGTTATTAAAAACAACATACAGGGTCTACCAACTTTTTGACTGAGCCTGTATAGAATGTAATAGTGTAATAGTGTAATTTTGATTATTTAAGCGAAGGCCATTACAGCGTGATATTTATTTGGAAAATGTTTTCATGCTAAAGTAAAAATTAAAATTCTATTTTCAATAATTTATGGCTCACCCTGTAGCTAATAATTAATGACGTCATTTGTTATGCCAGAAATTTTGTTTGATATCCGTAGAGCATCTCGAAAAATATCTGTAATCATTATCTTAAGAGGCACATCCTTTTTAAAATTCGCCAATTTGCAAGTTCAAAAACAAGTCATAGGAAAGAGTTGTGATCATGGACACTATTACTCAAAAAGTCGACAACTACAACTATCAAAAATTCAGAAAATTCGACAGAAGCCCATTTGTTCATAAGCCGACTGCGTGGTCCTTCAGCAGAAAAAGTTTTAAGTAAAAGTAACTTGAATTTATTAACTTTAAGCTACAATTACATCCACGGTATAGCTCGGACATGGCACCATAAAAAAATCATACCTTTTTTAATTTGACCACAGTGCGCTGGGTTGTTTTTCGGCGGCGGAAAAAGAAAAATTATCTTTAAACTGAACAATATTACAAAATAATGTGTCAATGATCCTTTTTGGCGAGAGATAGATAATATTATTGTTTTTATATTAAAAAATATTCTCTTTCATAAATTTTATTTATAAATAGATCAAAAGATTAACAGATTCTATCAAGTTTTTTGAGATAAAAAAATACGATTATAAGTATGTACCTCTAAAGTTTACCTCACAATCGGTCTTATCATCAACCACAAGGTTTAGAGGTAACGATTTTTTAGATAATAATTAAAAGTTATTAACCATATCCCCAATTATCATAAGTATATGAACTCGAATAAAATCTGACGACCCCCGGTTGATATTTTAATTTTTTCTCTTAAATATTTCAAGTTGTAATTCCCAATACGAGTACCTGGTCTCACGACTTAGTGGCGCCAGCTTAATTACTTTAGAGCTCCGATTTTAGGTAACGATACAAAGGCAGAAGGTGTGCGTTATTAGGACTAAATTCGGAGACTTCTATGTGAGAGTAAAGTCTTTATGCTTTATGCTTTATGCTTTTTTTTTATAAATACCACGTTTCTAGATGGATGGGAACGAGGTTACAAACTTTTCTTCCTTCTTCGAATCGAGTTATATGGCAAAAAGAGCAGATATAAGATTTAAGATATAGGATATAAGATAACCCCTTTTCTATATTGTTTTTAATTAAATTTAATTAAAATGAGATACGAGTATACTGTTATTTAGAAGGTGGCCACGCTTTCTGCTATATTTTGAAACAACGGGGTAGATAAATTATTTTCTATATAGGTACAATGACTTCTGTTTAAATATACTGTCAGGGCCGTTGCAACCATATGTGTAGGACGTGCAGCGCACGACGGCGCCTCATACAAAAGGCGCCGAAGATATTTGTTCTGAAAAATTACTTAGAAGGATCATGCATATACACAACCAAACTTATATGGAATCACTGTGTATTTCTGAAAAAACTTTTTGTAAAGTAAAAATTTGGTATCCAACTTTACGATAAGGCTATTTTTTTCAAAACAAACATAATAATAAAGAAAAAACGACTGCTGCGATTTATTTTCTTGTGAATTTTGTGTTCAGAAGTAAAAATCACGATCCTCAGGTAATTTTATTTTGGTTCAAAAAAACAGCAAAATGCCTTATGTGCAGAGGGGAAGAATTATTGCTCCCATTGAACAAGTAATGTCCCAATGAGACATAGCAGAGGTAGTAGGTGATACCCAGTGTGTTGTATATGAAAGGTACTTGGAACTAGAAACTCTCAAGAACAGGCCCAGACAAAGTCGTCAAAGAGGCACAACTGAACAACAGGACCTCTTTGTGGGCCAAATTGCTAGAAGAAATCCCAGTGTTTCTCATCCAGAGCTACAATCACAACTTATGGAAGCTAC